GGGAAAGAGGAAGTTTTCTACCCTATTCCTAAATTTGTGGAGAGCCTCTCCTATACTAGTTACTTTGTCCATCTCCAGCTCCTTATTTCCAGTTTTGAATATCTCAGACTAAGAGAAGTTCCACATTTGACCGCAGTTTCCCACAGTTATCAGAAGATGAAAAGGTGCCCTAAAATACTCCTTTTTGAGTAAAAATTCCCTGACCTTTATTGTGCCAAAATTGCATCCTGTCAGGGCCAGTTCTCTAGCCAAATACTTGCATGGCACAAGAAGGGCAGATATCATGACACCATGGGAACTCAGCTCTCTCCTAGCTATATGTGGCATGGGAGTTAATGCACAGTGCCTCCTGGCCCTGCACCACAATTATTTAGGACCAACAGAGCTATAGCAGGAGACCTTGCAAGCCAGTTCATTGCCTGCTGGGGTGCGGGAATGGGGGCATGCACCAGCATTGTGTCACAGTGAAAACTGGAAATGATGTCAGCATGTCCCTGTGTCATCGATTTATCAATCCCCACCCCTAAATGTTGAGCTTGGGATCATTTGGTTTTTGTTAGCCTGAAAATGAATGTGATTGCTGTTTTTCTTCCCATCTATCCCAGTTATGATGGATGGTTGACAGAGCCAGGCTGAAGTGACTTCTACATATACTGGGATAGCCTTTTTGCTTTGGGCTGAAAACCTCCTGAGGTTTTTCTGGGCTATTTGCTTTTTCACAGAAGGGCCTGAAATTAAAAGGGGAAGATCTAGTATTTATACTGGAGAACCCACTGGATTCAATCCTTATCTTGAAACAAGAACTTGGAGACTATGGCCTTGTAGCCGGTTTGAGAATAAATATCAATAAAACGAATGACTAAAAATATGGAAGAGGAGCGGGCAATTCAACTACAAGAAACCTCAAGTTTCCAGCTACAGAAGAAAATAAAATACCTAGGAATTGTAATGACAAATAAATGCAGTTCATTACAAGAGAATAATTATAAAGAACTATTGAGGAAGACAAAACAGGATTTAGAGAAATGGAAAGATCTACAGATATATTTGATGGGACTTATAGCAACAATTAAAATGAATATACTTCCAAAATAGTTATTTTTATTTCAGACAATTCCCATCTTGCAAAACCAAAAAATCTTTAAGGAATTAGAACAATCGATCTCAAAATTTATTTGGTAAGGCAAGAGACCCAGAATAAGTTTGAAAACTCTTCAAGATGCAAAAGAAAGGGGGGGCTTTGGCCTACCTCACTGGAATCTCTATTACAGAGCAGCGGCATTAACGTGGATTAAAGACTGGGTCACATTGGAAGACAAGAGAATATTGAAATTGGAAGGTCATGACCTCTTGTTAGGTTGGCATGCCTTCTTATGGTATGGAAAGGCAAGTACGCATAAATACTTTAAGCAACATTGGGTACGGGCATCCGTAATAAAAGTTTGGGAAAACATGCCCAGACATTTCTATATAAAAAAATCAAAACTGATTGTCCCACTAGAAGCTATTACACTCCCAAATGTTTACCAGGAAGAAATACAGAGAAGGTATCTGGATATATTGGACTCTGAGAAACATTTGAAACCATTAGAAGATTTACCATGGTGGCAAAGAGCGCAAATAGAATCTAGATTTATCAAAGATAAGAAAATTGGATTTTATAAAAACTTGTTAGAGATTGAAAAGATTATTATACCCATGGACCTAAAACTTATACGAAGACTTTATGTACTTTTAATTGATTATTTGCTCTTGGATGAGATAGTGAAAGGGAATATGATTCAATGGGCCCAGAATATAGGGCATAATATTAACTTGGAGCAGTGGGACCAAATATGGAAGAAAAACATTAAGATTACTAAAGCTATTTCTTATAAAGAAAATGTTTATAACATGTTTAATAGATGGTATGTAACACCTGAAAGGTTAGATAAAATTGACTTAAAATGTTCCAATAAGTGTTGGAAAGGTTGGCACATTTTACCCTATGTGCTGGCATTGTGAAAAAAACTAAGAAATATTGGGTAATGGTGCATGAAGTTTTGCAAAAGGTGTTGGGCACGGGAGTGATATTTAAACCAGAGGTCTTATTGTTGAACATTTTACCTGAAAATTCCAACAAAGATGATCGCTATCTGATTGTATATCTAACTACGGTGGCCAGAATTCTTTCTACTAAATATTGGAAATCAATGGAGATACCAACAAAGCGAGAATTTATAAACAAAGTTTCGGAGGCAGCGGAATTGGATAAATTGACTTTATTGATAAAAGGTTTAACAGACTCTACATTCCACAATACTTGGACACGGTTTTATAATTGGTATGATAATCACATGTAGGCAAGTTTATAATGGTCAAACTATTCATTTTATTAGAAAGTATATACTCGATTGAGATAGAGTGGATGATTACTCATCATAATATACAAGAATAGAGATTAAGGTGGATTAGGTATAAGCATAATGTTGTTAAAAAAGAATGATAACCCCCATATATGTGCGCATGTATGTATGTTTATATGTTTATTTTGTGTTTGTGTAAAACATGTGAAAAATTGCAATAAAATTCTGCCTTTCGGGGCAGTTTAAAAAAAAAGAAAGTAAAAATATGTAGTGATTATTAGGAACCATCGGATTAATAGTGTTAGAATGACTCTCCTAGTGCAGGAAAATCAGTATCTGATTGTTCTCCAACAAAGCATCCACAGTCTTGAGAAGGAAATGGCCTTCTCTTCATCTCTGTGCCAGCATATGTGGATCAGAGGTATGCTGCCTCCTAATAAGGAGGTTCTGTTTTAAGGAAAAGGAGTGTATGGTTTTGCATTTTTGGTTCTAGATGGAGTTTTTATTTCACTTTAACAACAATGTGACAGTCTTACTAGCAACAGTTCAGATGGTTTTTGCTTGTAGTCAAAACAAAAAGTAATTTTCCCCCCATAACTTTTGTCTTTCTCTGGTACAGTGGAAGCTCTTCATTTGGGAACATTAATGGCTGCCTATGGATATTTCTTTCCTATCTCAGACCATGTTCTAACACTGAAGGATGATGGTACCTTTTACCGGTTCCAAGTAAGTATAATTGCATTATTTTATTGAACTTACCACTAGTTAGCAAATACTTTCTTCATTGCAAATTTATTTATTTATTTAATTGCATTTATATCCCACCCTCCCCGTGAACGGGCTCAGGGCGGCTTACATAAGGCACATAGTACATACAATATAAAAAGATAAAACAGTTAAAATGCAATTCCATCGGATGCAAGACTAGAAAACTCCCAACAGCTTGTATAACAAAGGGGCATAATAGATGTTACCCGGCCCACCGGCGGCATCGCTCTATAATGGCACGGTGGTGGTGGTGACAGTGGCGGCTCCTACTCAAAAGCCTGGCGGAAGAGCTCCGTCTTACAGGCCCTGCACAAATAGAGTCCTGCCCATGATGTAGCCCAGTACTGTTCATTTCTCAAATACATTCTAATTGAAAGACACATGAATCTGCTTATGGAAGAGGGGAGCTGGATTTGATTCCATGGCTATCTCCCATAGTGACGCTTAGCAGCTCTGATCAGCATAGGCAGCCTAATCACAATTGGCCTGATATAAGACAGGTGGGTTTTCAGTTCCAGAGTCTGGGCTTGGCATTGTGCATACCTGGTCAAAGACCAGTGACACAGGGGGACTTTAAGGGCTCTCACTGAATTTTATGGGGACCTCCTCTTGTGTGGAGTTTTATGTGGACAGGAGGCCTTGTGCTGCTGTGGACATGGTTGCTAAGAGAGCTGAACACAACTGTAGAGTATAAGAAGTCAGGATATTATTCAGAAGGATGTTTATCAGAAAAGTAATAATAAGCCAAATGTGTTTTGAACTGCATTTAGTTCTTAATCTTGAGACAGTTGAATTGAAGAGAACAGCAGTCTTAAGCAGATCATGTAATGTTGGTTTTATTATTAATTCTCTTCAATTTACTGGGAATCAAAAGATTCCCAGAGCAAGTTACAAATAAAAAACATTTTAAAAACATAAATACAAATACTACTCTTCAACTGCAGCTGATCAAATATAGAAAATAGAGAATATTTTAAAAGTAAAGCAGTTAATCCAGTAAGACTTCATCAACATTAGTGTATGAGATAATATAAAAATGACACAAAATAACAAGCGGTCCAAAAATTACAAGGAGCATGTATCTACAATAATTATCCAAAACAAGAAAATGCACACACGTGCACACACACATGAACGTCTAGCATTGTGAAGGGAAAATGAATTCAAATACATCAGATTACAAGGCCTGGTTAAACCAATATTGTTCTGTAACGCCGATGCTTTAATAGGTTTGATGCCAGGTGAGTCAGTGAGGAAAGAGCATTCCACGTTTGAGGAGCCACCTAGGGTTACCAGCAATGCTCCCTCTAAGCTGTGGAGTCTTGTGAGCAAAAATCCTACTTTGTGAGCCACTGGCATTAAAGTTGTGAGCGAGCAATTTGGCTACTGCATAAGTTAGTTTGCTCTGGAGCCCTCCTTCCTGAGCTAAGATGGAAATCTGTGAGCGGCAGGCTAAAATACTGTGAGCCTAGCTCGCACTAACTCAGCTTAGAGGGAACACTGGTTACCAGTCTCGATGTGGGGTAGGATTGCCAACTCTGGGAAATACCTGGAGACTTGGGGGGGGGTGGAGCCTGGAGAAGTCAGGGTTTGGGGAGGGGAAGGACCTTATTGGTATATGGTGCCATCGAGTCCACCCTCCAAAGCAACCATTTTATCCAGGGGAACTGATCTCTATCATCTGGGGATCAATTGTAATAGTGGGAATCTCCAGGCAGCACCTGAAGGGGCTAATGTGGGGGCTAAAAATATCCAGGTGTTTTCCAACCCAGCATCGGCAACCCTAGTGCCATCCCTGAGAAAGCCACGGTTCTCAGAACAGCCTGCCTCACCTGTAAGAAAGGCTGGAGGTAGCAGGATCAAGGTGGGCAGCCGTGTTGGTCTGAAGCAATAGAACCAAGTTAGAGTCCAGTGGGGCACCTTTAAGACCAACACAGTTTTATTCAAGGTGTGAGCTTTCATGTGCAAAGCACACTTCATCAGACACTGGAATGGAATTACAGATTACAGTTGTACATACAGGGGGTGAGTTGTTAAATTACCATGCAAAATAGTGAATATTTTTTTAACAGATAAAAAGAATGACAAGTTTGGAGTCTGGTTATCATCCATTTAGGTTCAGGGGGGGGGATAACACAGGTAATAAATATGTCAGAATTGGAGATTGATGTACCCTTAATTGTGAGAATCCCATCATTAGATCCCACCCATGTCCTTTCTAGCATGGAGGCAAACTTTGCAGTATCTTTTTCTTTAAAGGGAAGCATACCTATATAGAGTATTTTTCTTGTCTCCAGAACAGAGAATTACATTTAAATCTATCATACCAAATTACATTACATATTCAATTAAATTCTTAATTGTTAAGAGTAGTGAAGTGAGATTTTTTTTTTTTAAGTAACATTTTACTTCTCTACAACGTGGTTTCAGAAGCTGGTTTCAGGCTTGCGTTTGTTTTCTTCTGCAGTTTAGAAGTGGTGAATATTGCTGGGGTGGGCGGAACTACAACAATTTCCTGCCTGTTTTGCACCTAACGCCCTGCTCTGCAAATATTTGGGTAGACATGATTAAATCAAACTTCCATGGGTATTCTGTTTGTTTTGATAAGCAGTATGGTATTTAAATGTGTTTGGCTGTCATGGCTGGCATCTTCCCAGAACAATTTTATACAATAAAGCAGTTCTAGTATTGCAATGTATATACCTAGCCTAAGATGAATTCCAGTTGTAAAAGTTTTGTTGTGTTTTGCAGACACCTTATTTTTGGCCATCCAATTGTTGGGAGCCGGAAAACACAGATTATGGTCAGTGTGGATCTCTCTTCTCTTTCACTCCGGAGTCATGCATTGTATGGATGATAATCTCATAACCATATTTTTTATTTAAATCTGGCATCGCTAAGCTCTTCCTGGCCTTCCTTTCCAAACCCAGGGCAAGAACTGCTAATGCTGAGCTCAAGATTGGCTTTGGTTTACAAAGTTTACTAAGGCAGAGGTCAAATCTGCACATGAACTGGGAATACAAAAATAGCATTCTTTTTTTATCAAACCCTTTGTTAATGCATACGATGATACATTGGCAGTGACTCAGATTCTGCCATTTTTGTTAGGTTGGAACAATAGCAAGCAGCTGGCTAAGGAATGGTCAAAGCTGAGAACTTGTTCTGAGCAAACACAATAGATGTTATGTCAATGAATTCTGTGTATGTCCATCATAGCAACCATGGCTATAAATGTCCATATATGCTGCTGTCCTATTGACATATGTGAGGCATTTATAGTTATGCATATGTACCCTTACTTCAAACTCTGACACACAACAAATCATAAGGGTTGATTTGTAGCATTCTGATCAAAGATAATGAGACTGCAGTGTTACACATTGTTGATTAGTTTCCTCCCAGAGCTCAGATTTTTCAAAATGAGTTCATGAGGTTAATTTCTTGTTGATATTTCTACTCTATCAGGGCTCTAGTCGGGGGGGAGCTCTCAGGTACGGAGCTCCGGAAGAGAACCTCTAGGGGGCGGGGCGGTCACGTGGTGAAGCCCCGCCCCCTTCTTTACCCCGCCCTCTGCTTCGATCCTCATTCCGTTTGGGAATGAGGATGAAGCAGGAGGGTAAGTAGCCGGGCCTTCTGACACACTTCCGGTGATGTCAGGGGGTGTGGCCTTCTGTCACTTCCGGTGATGTCAGGGGGCGTGGCATATGCAAATAAGTTATGCTAATGAGTTATGCTAATGAGCTCCGGCAGCTCTTTTTCTACAACAAGACCCCTGTACTCTATAGTATGCATCTAAGGTTTTAAAGGGATCAGACTGAGCATTAAACATGGCATATTTCAAAAGCTGGCAGTTGACTGTTTTAGCTAAATGCAAATTTGGGCATCACTCTTTTTTGGGAATTCTGACAAATTTGTGGTGCTGTACTCTGTACTGTATGGCACCATGCCTGTTTATTGTGTTGGACATTCTTCTTCACTTCTCTGGATTGTATAATTGAAATGGAAGGGACAAAGATTGATAGGGCAACATTGATGAGGCATCTGCCTATTGAATGACTGGAAATTCTAAACACTGGTTGATAGACATTCTTCTGTACATTGAACAGTTGTGCTTTTAGGTGGTTTCAGAGGTCCTTGAGCAAATTATCCTGTGCCTTTGAATGCTCTTGGGATTGGATTGAGCATAAAATTTCTGCTTGCATTAGAACTCTTGTACAAATGGAAACTCAAGAGAAAGACCATGGTAGCCACTTGTGCTAGGTCAGTCTAATTGTATTCTCACTTGCATTTCCTGCAACCATAATGTATAGGGAGGGAAATGGTAGATGTTACATTAGATCTTATGCAACTGGGGATGTGCTAAGTCCATTTTTGTGTCCACACATCACTGGATCCAAGCCTGTCTTTAACCTCAAGTTCACCCCATTCGGTTATGGACTTCTGAAATGAGATGTTCTGGGGCTTAAAAGTACCTGCACATTATGCCCTTCATCAGGATGTGTGCAGTCTGATTGTAGCTATGCACACATCCATGAATGCAATTTGGGCATTGTAAAACAAATTGTAAAGTTAAAGGCTCTTAAACCATGACTTAAATTTAGCCCTGACTCTTTTGACAAAAACAAGTTCAGTGTCACACTATGCATTTTCCCCAGACTCTGATCAATTGTACTGTATTAATGCCATATGCAAAACAGCCACAAATACTATTTGAGAATACAAGCAGGTCTGCTGTAGTTAGTAAATCAAAGTACCCCAACATATTCGTATTGCCTCAACTGGTAAAAGAAAAGTACCTGCTAAACGTTGTAAGAAATCTAAAAGACAGTATTCTAGAAATTTAAAGAATGACAGTTTGCAGAAAATTAGGCATGTGTAGCATCTTACAAATGAAAGTCTGGAACTTTGAGTAATACAACAGGAATCATATACAGCTTTTAGAAAGAGATCCCCCCCCTCCAATGGTTCATGTTGTTAAAAGATTGAAATATTTCTCTAAGTCCCATAGTCTGATAGCCTGCACTTAGGCAAAACTAACAGAGTCATCACTGTGATGAAATATTACCAGATCAAAGACTGGAGGGATCAAGATGAACTTCTGTGTGAAACGCGATTGGAGGAAAAAGTTATAGATCCACAAAATCCAGATGGTGAAGCAAGTAAATGTTTGTCATATATTAGAAGACCAAGAATTCCTACAATCTTTACTTCCTGTCTTCTATAATGGTAACCATAAACTATTACTATAGGTTATATATTTAAATTATAGATCCTGGAACATCTTACCAGTGGAAGTACTTGTTGCTCTTTGCTTTCTAGCGACTTGCCAAGCAGTGTAGTTAAGGACGGCATTGGAAGCCTAGAGTGAGGAAACTGGAGACTGTCTGCTGTTGCTATTAGTTTGTGTATGTTTAAATTGTATTTGCAGGTCTAGAATTGATTCCTCAAGTGCACATATTAAATGGCATGGAATAAAATCACAGGGAATTATCATACAACTTGTGGCTGAATGTCTGAAGGTGTTTTGAGGTTAAGTTGGTTGCTTGGAGGTTCTTCTTGCAGTATTTGATTGGAGTATTTCTATATGCAAGATGACATCACTAAAGTTTGCCCTTGATAGATGAGGTACGTGCATGAGTGAAGGTTAGAGGATTTTCTGGACATTCTTGGTTAATGAGAACCTCAACTAGACCTGCAAGTGATGTGCCCGTATCATACAATGAACATTTTTAAAGGCCTAATGATGTGGACAGAGGGAAGGTGGCATGGTATAGCCTGATCTCATCAAATTTCAGAAGCTAAGCAGGGTCAGTGGTTGGATGGGAGACCACCAAGGAAGACTGCAGAGGAAGGCAATAGCAAACCACCTCTGCTTAATTACTTACCTTGAAAGCCCCTTGCTGGGGTTGCCATAAATCAGCTGCAACTTGAGGGCACTTTACACACATGGAATGATGTGGACATAAAAATTAGTACTTGCCTTCGTCTCCGTTCCTTTTAAGTATGGTCTCTTATCTCAACAACTGACTCAGCTTCCCAGCTATATATAGAAAGTTGTGGGTTTCCTACTAAGTCAACTTATCTGAAATGTAATTAGTCCACTCATAGTACGGAACCTCATAATTATCTGGTCTCTCCGGACCAAAAATAAAAACAAAAACAAACATATGGTCTTTTAGTCAGTTTGAAGGTACAATTAAGCTGCTGGCATTGAAAAAGACCCCCTCCCCCAAAAAATGTCCAAGTAGAAACTTGAAAGCTATGTTAGCATGTATTTATAATCTGTTGCTAGGAAAGAAAATTCAGGAGTTCTTCTTATGTAAGGTTCTTAATAGGAATTCTAAGCAACAGTGCAGTGCCTAACCCAATATCATGTAAGCCTATTTTCTCTCAGCAAAGACTCCTCTGGCTCAGTCTGAAGAAGTTAGCAGTGACTCACGAAAGCTCATGCCCTGTCACAAATTTTGTTAGTCTTTAAGGTCCTACTGGACTCTTTCTCTTTTCTACCACTACAGACAGACAAACATGGCTACCAATTTTGATCTATCTGGACTCTTAGGCATTTATAGCCAGCGTGGCTATAGAGTGGGATAGAGTGGGATAGAGTGATAAACTAGAAACAAGGGGAATCAGGTTCAGATTCCTGCTGTGCCATGAAATGCAGTGAGTGCCCTTGAACCAATCATTCTTTGTCAGTCTAACCACCTCACAGGGTTGTTGTGAATATAAGCAGGAGAAAGAAGGGTCCTTGAAGCAAAGGTTGGATCAAAATGCAGTAGATAGTGCACATCCTGGCAAAAGAGCCTGCAGTACATGGAGAAAATAGGTAGATCCAGAGATCCCCCTTGTCTATATGATGGTTGGGGATAGATACTGCTATGTGCAGCTGAGGCAGCCTGCTTGCACAGAAATGGGAACAGAACCACAGATTCCCAAAGTACATACCTGTGATGATAATGCTCACATTCCAGTGATGCCCCCCTCATCCCTGCATAGTGTGCATGGAGATGTATACTCTCAACTTTTACTCAGTTTGATTGAGAATATATGACCCCATGTTATACTGAGGGTGGGGCACTTTGTTCATCTTGGCACCATGCATTCAGATTCTGGGAAACTATAACACCACAATTACAGCAGCAGCATGCGTATTTGCTTTCTCCCTCTTTTCAAATTAATGCACTCAGGTACCTTGGTGCACTGATTTGATACACCCTCATCTGTTAACTGATTGTCAGACTTAAACATATCATCTGGCTTATTTTGACTTCATAGGGGGAAAAGAGTTCTGCTTCTGTTCCTTGTAGAAATGGATTCTGTTTAAGTGCCAGGTGAAATTTTAATTTTGAAAAAAGAACAGCCGACAGATAAGGGCTTTGTCAAAAGAGAGGACCAAGGTACCTGTGTTCATTAATCGAAAAGGGGAAAAAACGCAGCTAATAAGGCTGTCCCTTTTTAATTTAAAAAAATCCATTATTCAAAAATATAAACTTACCCAGAATATCATAGAAAACCAAGGCTGTATAACTTAACATTTATCAAAACAACATAATCAATGCCCTGACCTGGATAGTGCAGGCAAGCCTGATCTTGTCATATCTCAGAAGCTAAGCGGGGCCAACCCTGGCAAGTATCTGGAACAACAACAACGTAATTGATGGCAAGCTCCTATACACCTCAGAGCTCCCTCTTTAGCATTCTCTTCAGGCTTAGGGCTTAATTGAGGTCCAATATATGATTGTTCCCCTACCTAGATGGCCCAGGCTAGTCTGATCTCATCAGATCTCGCAAGCTAAGTAGGTC